TCCGTGGAGTGGGGCCTGCGGGGAGCCGGCCTCGGATGCGAGGGCCGGGGGTGTAACGGACGACGGTGCCAGCCCTTGTGAGGGTTCACACCTTGCGGCTCGGGGATACTGGCGTTCACGTTCCCGCCGGTCTGCGAGTTTTGCCCTTTTCAAAGCTGAGTAGGTAGTACGAGGCTCTTCTCAGAATTCACCTCAGGGGCGCCCGGCTGGCTCAGTCAGTTGAGCCTGCGATTCTTGACCCTGGGGCTGTGAGTTCGAGCCCCGCGTTGGGTGGAGAGATTACTTAAAAATAAGATCTTAAAAAAAAGTCACAACCCTAGGAAGTAAGGCTTAAGATTGATGCCTACAACACCCATATCTGCTTACAGAAAGCCATACGCCGCAGAAGAAGAGGTACATATCACAAGAGAGCCAAAGGGGGAAGAAACCGGGGACACCTAGGACAAACTTCAGGGAAATGGCATTTAAAATCTTTTAGCGTATTAGGATTACCTCACGTAAGAAAGGTGGCGGTCACAAACTGGGACAGGAAGGCGTGGGAGGGCTTCCTGGCTGACGCCAACAGCCACGCAAGCAAAGAGCTTCTGTGGAATGTGCTGGGATCTGCACAGGCTGGGCTCTGGAAGGCACGGCTGGGCCGACAAGGCGTCGGAAAGAGTGCTCAGGCTGGAAACTCACCGACCTGGCCTCCCCTTAGGGTGTGCAGGGAGATCCTGGCAACGACAGCGGGATCTCTTTCCCGGCCTTCCCTGCAGCTAAGGGTGGCTACCTGACTTGACCGCACAAAGGAGATGTGAAACTGAGGTCTACTGGGGGTTTCTGGGAAAGTGTGTTCCCGAGAGTCTCCTGTGAGGACAGGTTGCCTTAGCCCTCCTCTTCTTGCCTTCAATGCAGACATAATGATGGAACATCCTGTGACCGGGGACAAAAGCCCAGATGCTAAGGCCAACGGCAGGGAAAACTAGAGCGGAGTCCCCGAGGGCATCACTGAGCACTAGAACCAAGGCCGACAGCTGCCTATGTATCCACTTCTCAAGAGAGAGAAAAACAGTCTTCGTTAAAATTATTAACCTATTGGGGCCCCTGGGCGGCTCTGTCGGTTGAGCACACGACTTCGCCTCAGGTCATGATCTCACGGTTTGTGGGTTCGAGCCCCGCGTCGGGCTCTGTGCTGACAGCTCAGGGCCTGGAGCCTGCTTCGGATTCTGACTCCCTCTCTCTCTGCCCCTGCCCTGTTCACGTTGTCTCTGTCTCTCAAAAATAAATAAATGTAGAAAAAAAATTAAAAATAATTAGTAACCTATTGTGTACTAACAGACCAATGTATTTACTTAATATAGCAATATGGGGCCTCACCTGCTCACAGCTGTTCCTGCTTTCCCACAAACCAAGTGGCAAGCAAGGAAAGTTCTCATTTCTTGAGATTTATCCAAAGATGTATTGTCCTCAAGTACAATGAACAGGCCTCTTCCCATTTCACACTACCGTGATCCCCTGGAATTTACCAATTTATAAGTTCTGTGGACTCACTCTCCAGAAATGCCCAGGCCTAACAGTTCTGCCACCCTCCTGCAGCATGAGTGGGTCCCCCAGAGCTGCTGCTGATCTGGGGCTGACAGCACGGAGTCTGCTTGGGATTCTCTCTGCCCTTTACCAGCTTGCGTTTTCTCTCCCAAATAATAAACATAAAAAGTGCAGAAAGACCCCCCCCACCCTTCTCTGAGTCCTTTGTGGGCAATGTCTAGTTACCTCCACAAATACCTTGTTCTGCTAGATACCCCTATCTGAAGTGAGTTCAGCAACAGAGTAAGTCACATCAAGTGTTGAGTAAACGATGTGCTGTTACCCAAACACTTTCCTCTCCAGGTGTGAAAATGGGGAAGTACAGAGATCAGCTGGGGTGTCATACTTCCCTGTCTGAACGTGGTCTCCAAACTGGGGAACTGAAGGGGTGTAGACAGCAAGGGACACTTCCAAACAGCAAGCTTGGATGAACCTGCCAAACACGGTCTCAACCAGAAGGTCACCCAGTTTTTTCTTTTTTTTTTTTTTTT